ATTTAAAACACTCAGGATGGTGCTTAACACATAGAACTTGTATAACAAATTTTACCTACCATCATTACTATTGTTAACATCAATGGGTACAGGTATAGAGGGCTGCAACAGGATTGCATTCTGAGGCTTCAGTGGATGGACCTTTGAGATGAAAGTTGATTTTTAAAACCAAGTAAGCATTGTTTAGAAAAATGTAAAATTGAAGTCATCAGAGATTTCCCTTGCTTGACAAGGTAGAGTTTGATTTTTACCTTAGGGCACAGTACTGTCTCCCCTAAGCTCTGGAAGGCATGATTAAGTATCATATTTCAAATCCCTAGATCAACTGGATTCATCAGATTAGTCCCCAAAAGTATTGGAGCTTTGGGGACAATAAGATAATGATCAGTTTTGCTAACTATTAAGAAGACAGATGTGGAGGAAGCAGGGCAAAGACAGAGTGCTTCCTACCTCATCAGTTCCAGGAGGCCGGAGGCCAGACTCCAAGGTGGGGAGAGGGGTATGTCAGGCAAAGGCAAAAACTAACATTGCATGGCACCTAGTGTGGAGGCAGACTTGCTGGGAAATTTACGTGCATTGTCTCATTGAACTGCCCAACTATAACCCTTTGTTCCTGCTGCTGTAACAAAAGGTCAGGGACAGGGTAAATTATGTACAGTAGAAATATATTTCTCAGAGTTGTAAAGATTGGGCAGTCAAAGATCAAAGCACCAACAGGTTTTACCTGATGACAGCTTCCAAACTTTCTTCACTTCCACTTGGTGCATCCTGAGTGTGTCCTCCTTTGGGGTAGGGAGTGGGGAGTAAGGGGTTTCAATGCTATATTTTCACATGGCAGAAGAGACATGTATAAGTTACTTTGGGGGTTGTTGTGGCAAACTACTTAAAAAAAGTTGACTTCAGGGTGAAACGATTGCTTTGTGATGCATGGTTTGAGGGGAAATACTTCATCATGGTGGAGAAGTCATGGCAGCAGGAGTGTGAGGTGTCTGATTGCATTACACCCACAGTCAGGAAGTGGAGAAATGACTACCTGTGTTCCATTTATGTTCACTCATTTTCTACTTCTATTCCTCCCCTGCTTTTGGGGGTTGAATCTAGGATCTCCTACATGTGAGACAAGCCTCAGCTTCATATTCTCCTTTTTATTTAGTCTGAGGCCCTCTCTATCCATGGAATTGTGCCACCCACACTCATAATGGGTCTTCTGATTTCAGTTAAATCTCTCTAAAAATGCCTCATAGAGAGACCTACAGGTTTGTCTCTTAGGTGATTCTGTATTATATCAACTTAACCATCAAGATTAACTATCTTGCTGATTAACTATCACAAAGCAAAAGGGTAAGAAAATAACATCTGGGCCCAGCATGGTGGCACACACTTTTAATCCCAGCACTTGGGAGGCAGAGACACAGGTGGATCCCTGTGAGTTCAAGGCCAGCCTCGTCTATAAAGCAAGTTCCAATACAGCCAGGGCTACACAGAGAAACCTTGACTCAGAAAAATAAAATAAAAGAACATTGGATTGTTTCCCTCAACCTCCTTTATAAGAGTTCCAATCTACTCATGAGGATTGAGGACGGGGCCTTCATGAATTAATCACCTTCCAAAAGGCTCAAGGCTCCTCTTCTCTCAATACTATCACCTGGAATTTAGTTCCAACATATGACTTTACACACACACACACACACACACACACACACACACACACACCCTGTACTGTGCAGAAGAAGCTCTGAATCCTCAGAAGAGCATCTGGAGCCACAAAGCTAATATAAGGTATTAAGGGGCAGAATTAAAATTGATTACTAAAATCTGAGGTTTACTTTGGCAGAGTACAGGGAATCATAAGAAAGAAGGGGAGTTAGTCTGATGAGGAAAGGATAGGCGCTCCACAAGGACCAAATATATCTGGGCACAGGGTCTTTTCTGAGACTGACATGCAACCAAGGACCATGTATGAATATAACCTAGAACCTCTGCTCAGATGTAGCCTGTGGTAGCTCAGTAACCAATTGGTTTCCCATAGTGAGAGGAACAAGGACTATTTCTAACAGGAACTCAATGACTGGCTCTTTGACCTCCCCACCCCCCAAGGGAGGAGCAGTCCTGTTAGGCCACAGAGGAGAGCTTTGCAGCCAGTCCTGAAGATACCTGATAAAACAGGATCAGATAAATGAGGAGGAGGTCCCCCCTATCAGTGGACTTGGCAAGGGTCAGGGAGGAGATGAGGGAGGGAGGGAGGGACTGGGAGGGAATGAGGGATCGGGACACGGCTGGGATACAGAGTTAATAAAATGTAACTGATAAGAAAAAAATAAAATTCAAACAAAAATCTGAGGTTTAAAAAAATAATGAAACACACCGCTTACACAAACCCATAATACACAAGGGCAGGTAAGTCAATCGAGTGGCTAAATAGCTGATAGTAATGATATAAGACACCGTGGAAATATATAGCTCAGTGTTGATGTGGGGACTAATGACATGCTGGTTTCACATAGGTCAGCTATCTCATCTCTGTTCCCAGCAATATATACACCAATGTGTGCCTCAGATTGTCCTTCACATGGATGGAAACTAAGTTGTCAATGGACAAAAGCTTACCTCTTCTGAAACGCCCTCACACATATGCAACTTGATAATGAAGATTAGCCATGGCAGTAGGTAAGATGGGCACCAGGAAAAGGAAGGAAGAATGTGCTTTATAAGCAGACACTGAATAGAACTTTCTGTAGAAAATGAAGGCCATGTCCTATGCTGTCTAGTAGCTACAGGTCATGCTTGCATGGCTAGAGCAACTGAAATATGGCCAATGTAACTAAAGAAATGAAATTTAACTTTACTTAGAATGTGGTAGCTATCATATTGGAAAACACTACTCTAACCACTCAGCAATCACCATGCACATCCTGGTAAATGTGCAATTAAATATGAAAGTTTCTATTTGGGGGAGTACTTAGTTAGGTATGCATGGGCTTGCTCAGTAAAGAACCAGATCAGTAAGTTTCTTAAGAATGATTCTGTAAGGGCCTTTAGGCACATGATCTCATTTCTTTCTGAAGGACCCAGGAGTGGGGAGAGCAGAGATTACCCTTCCCATACTTCCAATGAGTGTGGGTGAGGGCAGCAACGGTCTACAGCAGGTATGTCTAGAGGACGGTGTTTCTCTTTTTTCACTGAACTACTCTTTCCAGTAGGAAAGCCAAGAAAGAAAGAAAAAAAGAAAGAATGAATCAGCCTTGATCCCTCAGATGAAAAGACATTCATTCTTCCTAGTCCCTCTTCTATTCAATGTGGCCAGTTGGTGCACAAACCATTATCAGGAACCCTATCTTATTCCCTTCCAACTCCCTGACTTATTTGAATAGTTTACTCATATATTCGGTATCATATATGCAGAAGAACCAGTTATCTCTGAGGCTTTTCTGGGTCTGGGGTTGCATTTATATGGAAAAGAAAGGCCACTTTCTTGTGGACAGTTTTGGCAGAGGGAGACTGACAAAGTGTATGTATCAGAATGTTGCAACATTTCAAAGTTGTTGTTGTTTTTTTTTTTGTTTTGTTTTGTTTTTTTGAGACGGGGTTTCTCTTTGTATACTTGGCAGTCCTGGACTCGGTTTGTAAAGCAGGTTGCCCTTAAGCTCACAGCGATCCTCCTGCCTCTGCCTCCCTGAGTGCTGGGATTACAGGCATGTGCCACCACTCCCACCTCAAAGATATTTCATAGTAGTGTACCATAGTTTTCACATTATCTGTGGTACCTAGAAACACTATTTGTTGTACCTTTTGGGTACATTTGGATGTACACTTGGAGCAAACGTTTGGGCTTGCTGCAAGGTGGAAATACCTATTGATTTAATCTTTTAACATGTGTTGAGTGCCACCTATGTGCAGAGAATGATATTGAAGACTCAGAAGATTGAAATCATTAGGGTCTTGTCTTAGGAGTTCTTCTCACTCTGATGAAAGAAGCGGTGCATTTCTACGGCTGTCAAAGGAGCTAAGTAAGAGTCTAGAGTAGAAAGGAAACAGACCCCAGGGCCCTCTTACTATGGGGGAATCCCAGCTGAATGTAATAAATAAATGAATAAATAAATGAATAAATAAATGAATAAATAAATAAATAAATAAATAAATAAATAAATAAATAAATAAATAAATAAATAAATAAATAGGCTGAGTTGGGAGGCTCCTTCTTCCCTGCAAAGAGAAAAAACTAAATAGGGGATAGCTTTAAGCAACAAGGTATAACTTGCACAATGTCTCCCAACAGTGAAGAGGAACCAGAGGTCAGTATGGGGGGGACTGGGAGACAGGGACAGGAGGGTGGCTTTTTGATTGGGTGGGATTTTGAGCTTTTGGAGCATGCATTAAGAGCTCACTCATGGGGTCAGGCCAAGGTAGAGGGTACTCGCTTGGAGACAGGAGGAGAAATAAGGGTGGTAGGCAGTTATCCAAGTCCTATGCACAACCTAGGGAATCACCACCAATTCTAATTCAGTTGAAGGTGCAGAAGAGAAAGGAGGTGGAGTAGGGGAAGGTCTTGAGCAAACCCATAATAAGGAATGAAAAGTTATAAGGAGAGAGAAAAGAACACGGCCAGGGTCAGAAATGGAGGGAGGGTGTTGGAGGGAGCCCAAATAGGGTCCTTCTCCAAATGCCCTGGTATCCTGACGGCAGTTAAGGAAACCAGATGAGAAAGGGTTAAGTGTGCCCCTCACTGCTCCAAATGCTTGCTGTGTTTGAAATCCTTCAGGTCTCTATCAACCCTCTGGACCCCAGCCAGGCAGGCATTGTCTGGGTAGCGGTTGTGGGTTGTCCCAGCAGCCGCTCAGCCTTTGTTGTGGGGCCACCTCGGGGTTCCTTCCCGCACCCTAGATAGGACTGCAGCATGCTTGCCGGGAGGGGGGCGGTACGGGAGGCTTGCTCCCTCTCCCTCTTCCTGGCCCCCGCCCAGCCCTCCCGATGACCACATGACCAAGTGGGATCGCTGCCAAACCACAAGCTACAAAATGCAGCCCCCGAAGTGAGGAGGAAAGCATTCGCTCTTGCAGCCTCAGTCAACGGGTAGTTGGGAGCCACAGTCAGCCACTTAGTTTTTGCGGCCGTCCGGCGGGAGCCACCAAGGCCAGCCCTGCTGCGGTAGAGGAGACTGCAGAGGAGGCGAGCAGACCTGAGGCCAGCAGCAAGCGGTGCGTCTGGGGCACTCACTCTCCCGCTGTCCGGGAAACACGCGAGCTCTGTGCCCGCACGTGCCAGCCCCGGCTCGCGCCTTTCTTTGCATCTGGGGTGCCTGGCCTCTCCGCCCACCCGCTGGCTCTTCAGGGCTGCAGCGGACCGAGGACCGAGTTGCAGCATGAATCTGGGGCTCTGCATGCAGGCGCTGCTGCTACTCTGGCTCTCCTTGACTGCGGTGTGTGGAGGTGAGTGCGTGCCCTTCCACTAGCCTGGGCTTCCTCTGGGGCTTTCCCGAGCTGCAGCCTAAGAATTCTCTTTCCGGCCCACGCGAGCAACTCCCGCCTCCCAGGCAACCCAGGGCGAACTATGCAGGAGCAGCCACGCTCCAGCCACAACTGAAGGCAGACTGACAGGGCTTCCAGGGCCAGGGGCCACTTGCCATGTAGGTGCTGTTCCCTCGGACAGCATGAGGTTCCTTATTACCTTGTACATCACCATTTAAGCCCCTCCTGAATGTCCTTGGCAGTTTAAGGTTCTCAGGGCCTCAGACTTACATCCTGTGTCCTGTACTCTGTAACCCACGTGGTACGGAGGAGAATGGGGATATGTCCCGCTCACATCGTGGATCAATGGAGGCCACTGACCTGAACTGAGTGGGTCAGGACTCTACGTTGAGGATCTCTGGGTCTTGGAGTTTAGGGGCCACTGGCCAGTCCAGGGGCTCAAGCTACTGGGGCTGATGTGCCGACACGTAGATGTGACACTTGTTGCATAGTTAGCCTGTGCTTTAGCAGCCTCCTTAAGCAGATCTGAACTGGACAGGGCCAGGCTGGTTTTCTCCTGTACTCCAAGGTCCTGGATAATCGTGTTCCCTGCTCCACTGTGGGACACCAGGCCCATGGCTTCCATCTCTCAGGAGACTTGGTTCTTCTATATTTTGGCTTCATTCTCCATTTTTGCCCCAAGTATAACTTTGGTCTCCCTGTCTCCAGGTACCAAACCACAAAACACAGGCATTTTATCTGACAACCTCCATGCAGCTCAGGGAAGGGGATACCTTCACCTCCACCTGTACAAAACCCTCACCTGGAAATTCTTGGCAATGATACTCCCCTGCCTACTTCAGTCCAAGTCCTCAGTGTCTCAGCATCCCCTGCCCATGCTGCCAGTCCTCTGTGTGGGTCCTCAGTGTCCCTTCAGCCCTTGGCCCAGGCTGCCTGTCCTCTGTGTGTCAGAGCCTCCTGCTGCCAGTTCCCACCTTCAGCTGCCCCACTCATGTGATCTGGCTGTCATTGCAGCCTGCCTGGCACAACAGAAAGGGAAGGTCAAGACCAGGTGGACAGTTGCCAGTGCCAGGGCTAGAGTCACAGAGAGGTGTCTCTTGGTCTCTGAGCACCATTTTCTCTCCTACTTCCTTCTGCCAGCTTCTGCTCCAATATGCAGCATAAGGACAGCTTACTCTTACCCCTCCTAATGTGGAGGACATCTCCACTCCATCCCCAGTTCTAAACTCTAGGCACTCTTGAAACCTGAGCCAGGCTTGTCAACAGTATAGTACTAAGGCTAGTCAAATGGAGGCCAGGCTTTCCAGAGTCTGGTCCAGAGAAGGAAAGTGTTTCGGTGAAGGTGAATGTTTAGGTGAAGAGTGTCTCATATTCCAGAGACACAAACATTACCGCAGAGCAGTGGATGTAGCATTCCCAGTGGGATCTCCATCAGAACCTCAGGTTGGACTTTTAAAGCACTCACTATACAGACCTGACTCTGAACAAGAAGACAGGTGTGCCATTCCTACTGAGGTTGGCGTGTTCCTGAAAAGTTACATAGACTCCTTTGTGTATCTCAGCAGGGTCAGAGTTTGGGTTGCATGAAAATCAAATCCCCTTCTTCCCATGGCTGCAGGTCTCAGCTTGAAAATGCAATTGCCTCACTCGAACAAGGGTTCCAATCCTCTTAGCTTGAGATTCTCTGCGAAATAACCCCTGCTTCCTTTTAAGCAGAAAATGAGTTGAAAGTGCATACTGAAGTATATTTGGGGTATTCTCTGTCTCTAACGAATGCCTTTTGTACAGTCAGGACCTCTGCAGTGATGAGAATCAGTGGCTTCTAGTTTGTTTTTTCAGACAGGAAAAAGCCAGGGTTTCAGGTATCAGCTTATCTGACTAGATTCAGCAGCAAATGTAGGAAACAGTGAGTGATTGGATCAGAGTTCAGGAGGAGCCCAGGGACTTCCTGCCATGGGGAGGAACAATGAGCGCCAATCCAATAGGTTGCAAGAGGCCAAGTGGCTTCTGGGGTGGCTGCTTTCCCAGGCCTGTCTGAATCTCAGTGAGCTCAGGGTGGATCTTCTCTGCAGGTCTAGAGTCTAGACATCTTCCTGGCTTAAGTCTGAGCCACTGTCAGCATGTTGCTCATCCTGGCTCTTGACCTCTCTTCCTATAGTGTTCTTCCCCCACATTCTCCCTCACTGCAATAGACACTGACAGTCACAGGCCTTTAGGACATGGGAGGGGTGATACGTTTTCCCTCCTGGCACCATCCATACATGACTGCTCTACCCCTAGGATACAATGGCCTGGACCATTGTTCCAAATCCAGTAGTTGAAAGCAGGGACATGAGAACCAAGCCCTCACTTTTTAAAAGGTCCTTGGGGTCCTTTCGCTATGAATGGCTACATGGTGGTCACCCCACACCTGAAATGTGTCTCTGCTTCTGCCTTCTCATCAGCATCACTCAGAGCCACCCTCAAGGCTCAGGGTAACTGTTGATGAAATTGTAAAACTTAGACCATCGGCTAAATGAACTGGTGGGGATGTAACAATGGTGCTCCCTCAGCCCCTTCACACATGGTATCAGCTTTAGGTCAACAAACAGAAGCAGTACCTAACACTTCCAAAGGACTACTATTATTTTTTATCTTAATTCTCATGGATTTTAGGTTTAGAAGCTCAGTTGGCACACTAACACACTTTAACCATGATCATGGAAGTATGGCAATCCTTGTAAACTCTTAGGTCCTAATAGGTCTGGTGTTTTTTCCTGGACAAGAATGGAAGGATGCTGGAGAGAGAGAGAGAGAGAGAGAGAGAGAGAGAGAGAGAGAGAGAGAGAGTAGTGTGCTTGTCTGGCTCTGAATGGGGAGGAAAAATAGTAGTTTTAAAGTCTGTGCAAAGAGGGCCACAAGGACAAACCTCTCCCATTTTTGAACCAAGAGGATACAAAATGCCTGGAAATTGTGTGTAAGCTGAAGACTCATAAGAACCAAAGTGTTGATGAAGGAGCCAGAATATGGGGGTGTTGGAGGCAGGAAGGATTGGGGAATGGAGGAGTAACCAAATGGATATATGGAAATTGTGAGTCAGTTGTGGGAATTCCTTGATGGACAGCAATGAAATTCAAGGAACAGGGATATAGCTGAAAGCAAATCTGATGGTGTGCAGGGAACAGAGGCTGGTATTTATTATCATTAGCCTCAGGCACTACGGTGTTTCTGAAGACCACTCCCATCTTAAGCATTGCATAAGCATCCTGCTCATCTGCCTCTTCCCCAGAGCTGTCTCATCTCTGCACACTGTCTGCTTCTAAATGGCCAAGAGTGTGTCTGGGTCATAGCTCAGCTTTCCTGATGTACTACTGGCTCCATGACAGCTATCAAATGTGCCTTTCTCCCTCATTTTTCCCAACAACTTCCTGCACAACTTGCATTCCATTGTTAGGGCTCAGTGGCATCTGATAACTTTTGTACTAAAGCCATATGTGGGCAGATGGAGACAGGAGCCTGGGATAGCATAACAGAAGCCAGGTGAGGTTAGAATGAAAAGAATTTCTATCAGATTTTGGGTAGGAGGTGTGATCTAGGATGGTAGATTGGTGGGGAGGTGCTAACTCCAACAATCCACTCCTCTTCTTGTGTAGCATACTACTACAGGTCACAGTTCCCACACTCCTTCACTCACTTGTACCATATTTCTTAGCCTCTAAATCTGGTCACAGGCTGAATATAACCCAGTACAAACTAGGCTTAGTTAGTTGTATTCCAGCCACACCCACAAGAAAGCTTCAAGAGCATGGAAAAGGTTCAAACTACTGATGAAGTGTCCAAGGGAGAAAAAGACACCTAACTACTGATGAAGTACCCAAAAGAGACAAATGAGATATCTAGCACACAGAAGTGGGTCTACTATCAAAGGATATAAGCATAGAGTGGACATGCATTTGGTATTTGCTTTAAAATATAAAAGCCAAATAAATAAATAAATAAATAAATAAATAAAAGAAGACGAGGTGGAGGAAGAAGAAGTGGTGAAGCACACATGATTCCATTCAATAACTGTGACATCTGGGCATGGGTCCATGAAGGGGCATCATTGTGATGTTGTATGTCTGGAATGTTTGAAGTATACCAGTTGTAGGTGTGCCATGGGAAATTGTTCCCCCACCACAGCCAAGTATATGCTTGATGCTGCAGAGTGAACCACCAATTAGGACATTTCCAAAGGAAGAGCTTGTTTGTGCCTGTAGATACATGATATAACTGTCCAAAGATTAAAAAATCAGTTACCTCAATGGTAAAAAGAGTGATTCCACTTGCCTCAGAACAGTGTACGAATGGGACATCTCTTCATTAGGATAGAAAAGAAAAATGTGAGGGCGCCACCTTGTGGAGAATTTGCACTGTCCCTTTGACTGTGGCTTCCTCTCCTGTCTCCCTCTACATTCTTAACAGATTTTTCTCCTCTCTGCAGTGCCACTGATGCTGCCTCCAGATGGGAAAGGGCTAGAAGAAGGCAACATGCACTACCTGGTGCAGCCCAGAGCTTCGAGGACTGGACCAGGGCCCTGGCAGGGGGGCAGGAGGAAATTTCGCAGACAACGTCCTCGTCTCTCCCATAAGGGCCCCATGCCTTTCTGAATCAGGTATTATAGCCCCTTGTCAGCTGGTAGCACCAAAGGGGATGGACATTCTACTATCAAAGGCCAGACACACCGGGGTCGTAGAGCTTCCATGAAGTTAGTAAAAAGTAGTCATATTATTTCTCTAATTTATAGAAAAGGAGACTTCTATAATATAAGCCCACAGAAGGGCTTAGCACTTGGGACCAATCTCCCGACTCCCTCCCAAGAGCTAAGTGTTTAGTTTTCCTCTCTCCTTCTCTCTGGGATTGGGAAGACTGGTGTCATTGGACAGTTCTGGAGGCCATGGCTAGAGAGGTTTGCTAAGAGCATGCCTACAGATATTCAGCGTGCACTCTTACCAGGCTCAGGGTTGAAGGGAAAGAACAGAGAGCCTTGGGATAGTCAGGTAAGGAATAGGAGAGCCCGAGTGTTAGCTGTCCATATCTGTGAGAAGCAGAGAAGAATGAAAAGTGGCTGCAGAGAGAGCAGGGTCTATGCCTGTTCCTGAGGGCTGGCCTGCTTCCCCTCTCACTGCAGCCAGAATCAAAGGGAATTAACTTGGAACCTTGCGGTTAGGGGTGGAGTGGGCATGACTTCTGTCTCTTTTTTTCTAAGGGATTCCTTTGACCTAGGATATGTCTGTGATTTCTCGCTGGTCATTTTGTCTTTTTAGGATTGAAGGAATCTCCAAGTGTGCAGCCGGTGCCGTTCTCTCCGCTCCACAGATTTGTTCTCTTCTCTGGAACCCTCATGTCCATTTGGCTCTCACCTTATACCCGTTATAGCTGCTGATGGTCCTGGCTCTTCTCACTCACCAAGTTCTTCTAATGGCATGGTCTTGCCCTTCACTTGGATGGTTCCATTTCTCTCACAAGGATCCATTTGACCCATCTTCCTGGCCACTCCTTGTAATGCCATTGGAGACACAGCTTTTCCTTGGCCTGTTCCATGTTCTAGACCCTATCTATTGGCCTTACCATTCACTTGGCCCTCTCTCTTCTCATTTGCCTTGGCAACTGGACTGGTGCACTCCCTTCTTCAATGGATTCTTGCACCCCCTTACTTTCTCATCAATTGGACCTCTCCCCTGGAAGGGAATACAGAGATGTGCAATGAGACTTTGGTTTAGAGGGATTGGGATACATAGAAGGTGCATGGCAACACTGACATGTGGGTATGGTGAAGGAGTGAGGAGAAACAGCTGTCATGGCCTCTTTCTTAGGTCTCACTGGCCCTGTTAAAGGAAGAGAGGAGCCCATGAAGTACTTTGTTACTGTGTCTCCTAACATCCTTGCTCCCTTTGTTCTATTGCAGCTAGTTCAGTTCCCAGATCAGAAGGGGAGAGTACTGACCCTTACATGGTTCTATATTCTCCTGGGAGTAAGCAGAATAGCTGTTTTTGCCCCCTCCCCTTAAAAATCATAGAAAGTCAGAGCCCAAAGGACCCTTGTAGATCATTTAGCTTCCTTATGCAAAAGCTTGCACAAACAGAGGCCTTGGAAAGTGGCCTGCTCAGAGCCATTGCAGAGGCTCAGAGGGGACCAGGTCTCCCAACTCCCACTTTATGATATCCTTTTCCCTCTCAGTGATGTCCTTTCAAAGCAAATGAAGTGCCTTTTGCTGGGCTTAGTGTAGGCAGTGGCTGGGAAGGATAGGAAAGGAGGGGGAAACCAGCTGTGAACTGTTCTGTGTGGAAATGGAACTTCTCCCTCCATAAGTGGTGAAATGGTACCCCAAATAGGCCTAGTCCCAGCCCCCTGCCCAGGCTCAAGCTATTTTAATTAGGGTTCTCAGGCACTGAAACTACCATTTAGCCCCTGACACTGGTTGTTCTGAGCCCCTATATTGACTTGTTCTTGTGGCTTTGGGGGGAAATGTCAGAGGATAGAAAGGGGAAGAAAGGAAGGAGAGAAGGAAGAAAGAAGGAAAGATGGGAGGATGTGTAGGTAGTGTACTTCACTACACCAAGAGATCTCATCTCTCACCATGAGCCTTTTTGCTGCCCTTCCCTGAAGGGAGAACCTCATCCTTTGCCTAAACAGATGTTCTTCTCAGAGGCTTCCCAGGAGGGAGAAAAGAGAAGACATAAGCTTGATATTTACTTATATAGGTGTAGGGCAGGGGGAGTCAGGACCCCCAAGCCCCATAATAATCCAAGATTGCCTATCCACCCCTCTCCAAAGCCTTCCCATCTGCTGCTGCTGTTGCTGCTGCTCTGCTGCTGCCACTTCAAACCCCACCCTGGGAAGCTGGGCCAGGCATAGTGTCCTCAACCCCTTGGGCTTGAAGTGGGGGCTGGCTGGTGCCTCTTCTACTGCTGGTACCTTTACCAGAGACCAGGCCTTCTTCCTCTTTGCTGTTTCTGCATCTCCTGCTTTATCAGCCTGCCATGCCCAACTCTATGGGGAAGGGACGGGAAGGGGGACGACAGCTGAGAAAGAGGGGAGATAGAAACAGAAGAGGGGAGTAAGTTCATCTGGTGGGCTGTCTTATTTAAAGTTGTTGTGTATTGTTATACTAATTTATATAAAACTGTTTAGGCCCTTTGAATTAAAGAATCTGTCCCCTTCCCATAACTGTTCTCAATGTTGTAAAGATTGTTCTGTGTAAATATGTCTCTATAATAAAAAGTTAAAAGCTGACAATTTGCCCTTACTCTTTGAGCTCATGTTCAGTAGGGGTGTTCCTTTCACCCTAGGACCATACTTGTTCCTGTGCCCAGATTGCACGTGAAGGGAGGTAAGTGCTTGCATCTCAAATTGGTTCTAGGTTAACTGGTCTCAAACCAATTTGCCACAAGCACACAAAAAGACTCTATGCTTAAACGCCAGTTCACATAAATTTGAGCCCCTTTCAAGTCCTTTGGCACCTGTTAGAATGTCCTTATTTTTCTGGCAGTGTCATTTAAAGGATTTTTTTTCAGAAGAATTTCATTTAAGGACATGCTGATCAAAGGTGGGATTTTTACTAAAAGTTGTTTTGTAACCCTGGGTGGGTGTCTTCTGTTTTATCTATTTTTGAATACCTTCGGGACTTTTTAGCCAGTTTGCCTTTCTTGAAAAATGTTGTCAGCCATAAATACATTTGGTAATGACTTTCTATGTATCATTTTATGTTTAACAAAGTGGAGTTGCTTGATGAATGAGATAGCTTGAAAATAAAATCCAAGGAGTTCAATAAAACCATGCCCCATTTGTCTTACTTTTTCATGCTTGTTGTCAAAATGTCAATATCTTGCAGAACAGACAGGAACATTGGATATATGCAAATTTGGCTAATAAACCCATTAAGTATACACACAGCATACACAATGCAGAGCTAAACTCAATGAGGAGACAGAAATCATAAGAATAGTTGCATTTGATAAATCTTTTGAGAAATTCTGTAGATTTGACAAGTATTTTAATGCTGAAAAGGTTTAATTTTAAAGAAAATGACTTCAGACAAACTTGCTAAAGAGTCAAAATCACTCAATAGGCTAGTAAAAATCATCCAAAAGCAAGCTTAAGTATCTCATCATTAATAGAATGCTGCACATTGTACCACAATGACTTAAAAATATGGCATTTTGTTGGAAGTACCTCTTAGGAAAACATGTAGCTTTGAGATTGCTAGTTTGCTGTTTAAGTGAACTGGTTATCAGAGGAATTTAGCGTACATAGACTAATTGAAGTGTCTTGAACAGAAAGACTGCCATTCCCATTTTACAGATGAGAAAACCTGCTGAGAGAGGGGAAGCTCTTAGCCCAAAGTTTCATAGCGTGTAAGTCACTATAGACTCTACATTGTGAATTCCAGAATGCAAACTCCGTAGAGTAGAACAGACGGTCTCCTAGTCATGAGAAAAAAAAAGAAGCAGAAAATGTGTGTGTGTGTGTGTGTGTGTGTGTGTGTGTGTGTGTGTGTGTGTGTG